CCCTAAGTGAAAGCATACAAAAACAATCCTAAAATGACAATGCAAGCTATATGAACACTCTGCTTTTGTGAAATCATTTTCGAAAAAAATTCAAATTTTTATGGTTTTTCTATGCCTTAGATGCAATGATGCAAAATTTGAAATAAGAAAACAAAACGCAATGTCAAATACTCCCTGAGCCCTACAAATTGATAGTAAGATTTTGCCTTATCTAACAGGTATCAATCCCTAATACACATGCCATTGTAGTATATTAGGTTATCAATCCAATCTCAGTGTGACTGCAAGCATTCAAGATATGAAACAGAAAGCAAATAAGTCAAGCCAATTATGAAAGGGTTTTGTGTGTTTCTACTGATTCTAAGCAACCAATTTAACATGCAAATACCGAATTTAAAAGCTTGCAAAAGAGAACTAAACAGCAAGTAAACAAGAACAAGAAGTAAACTAAAGACCAGAAACTATCATGCATAAGCTTTGGAAAAGAAACTAGCAACCTAACAATGCAGAGAAACGATCTAGGCCTAACAGGTCGAGATGGTCACAAAAGCTAACAGAAACGAGATTTAAACAATCAATAGAGATAAAAGGTCCTGAGGAATGGGGTAATCGATTATGGCAGTCTCCTTAGTCTACCTAGGTGGTTAACAAACTCAATAAAGCTATCCCTAGACAATAGATTAGAATACAAATCAATCCACTCTCGTGACAGAGATTCTCAAGCTAAATCACTTTCATACTCAATTCTCATTGAAGAAATATAACCTAGCAGGCATTATGATTCAATCTAATAAAGTCAATAAGCATTCTAAACATCCAATCTCTTGGGTTGCATTTCACTTTCTTATACTCAGTCATACACACTAATCTTGTCATATTGGACTCCAAATACCCTACACAAGCTTATTATGCCTTCCCCAAGTTTTGTAAGTGAAGACGAAGTCCCTATCAGTTTTTTTGTTTTGTATCTACTCTACTTTAGCAGCCAGGATCCGGGTTGCATTTCACTTTCTTATACTCAGTCATACACACCAATCTTGTCACATTGGACTCTAACAACTATACACTAGCTGAGTATGGCTTTCCCTAGTTTTGTAAGTGAAGACGAAGTCCCTATCAGTTTTTTTGTTTTGTATCTACTCTACTTTAGCAGCCAGGATCCGGGTTGCATTTCACTTTCTTATACTCAGTCATACACACCAATCTTGTCATATTGGACTCCAGAAACCATACACAAGCTTATTATGGCTTTCCCAAGTGTTGTAAGTGAAGACGAAGTCCCTATGAGTTTTTTTTTGTTTTATATCTACTCTACTTTAGCAGCCAGGATACGGGTTGTATTTCACTTTCTTATGCTCAGTCATACACACCAATCTTGTCATATTGGACTCCAAATACCCTACACAAGCTTATTATGGCTTACCCAAATTTTGTAAGTGAAGACGAAGTCCCTATGAGTTTTTTTGTTTTATATCCACTCTACTTTAGCAGCCAGGATCCGAGTTGCATTTCACTTTCTTATACTCAGTCATACACACCAATCTTGTCATATTGGACTCCAAAAACAATACATAAGCTTATTATGGCTTTCCCAAGTGTTGTAAGTGAAGACGAAGTCCCTATGAGTTTTTTTTTGTTTTATATCTACTCTACTTTAGCAGCCAGGATACGGGTTTCATTTCACTTTCTTATGCTCAGTCATACACACCAATCTTGTCATATTGGACTCCAAAAACCATACACAAGCTTATTATGGCTTTCCCAAGTGTTGTAAGTGAAGACAAAGTCCCTATGAGTTTTTTTTTGTTTTATATCTACTCTACTTTAGCAGCCAGGATACGGGTTGCAAGACTGTCTCTGATACCAACTGTTGCAGCGGGATAGATTACGAAAGTAATCTTGAGTATCAATGGATCTCAAGCAAGACAATCGTAGCTCCGAATTCTATTGTTATCGGAGAACAATGGATTCACGATAAACAAAGATTTCAAAGACTTCGTTTGAGAATACTTTTCTCGGTGCTTATCAAAAGCTCTTTAATTTTATTAATCAAAAACAACCATCGAATACAAGAAGCCTAAGAGGCTATTTATAATAAAAGCTCAAAACCCTGAAAACCTATAATATTCTAGAACAATAATTATTAATTAATTAAAATATGATAATAACAGATATTTGGAAATATTCCAAATATCTCGCTGCATCAGTCATACACACCAATCTTGTCATATTGGACTCCAAATACCCTACACAAGCTTATTATGGCTTACCCAAGTTTTGTTAGTGAAGACGAAGTCCCTATGAGTTTTTTTGTTTTATATCTACTCTACTTTAGCAGCTAGGATACGGGTTGCATTTCACTTTCTTATACTCAGTCATACACACCAATCTTGTCATATTGGACTCCAAAAACCATACACAAGCTTATTATGGCTTTCCCAAGTGTTGTAAGTGAAGACGAAGTCCCTATGAGTTTTTTTTTGTTTTATATCTACTCTACTTTAGCAGCCAGGATACGGGTTGCATTTCACTTTCTTATGCTCAGTCATACACACCAATCTTGTCATATTGGACTCCAAATACCCTACACAAGCTTATTATGGCTTACCCAAATTTTGTAAGTGAAGACGAAGTCCCTATGAGTTTTTTTGTTTTATATCCACTCTACTTTAGCAGCCAGGATCCGAGTTGCATTTCACTTTCTTATACTCAGTCATACACACCAATCTT